GGGCAGTCTGACTATAAAAAATATAAAAACAGGCCCACACCAAGCCAACACATGTCTGTCACAGTCTGAAAGTGCCATTTACAAACCATCCAGAGGTTCCTATCCTTACAAAATCTCATTTGGGAGGGGACCCCTCTCAAACCTATCTCCCAGCTCGGGCCTACGAGCTCAAGTTAACCTGTCCGCAGCTTAGCTCCCCCCCCCCAGATATTATATCCTAGACCTGGCTGTAGTGTTTGATATAATTCCCATTGTTCCACGAGTGTCCTCTTTATAATAGCTTGTCCCACAGGAAAGGTTTGACTGTACTTCAATGACCCAGATGTGTATATTAAAATTAATATAGACCTACCCTTATAATTCTAATTAAAGAATTAATAATATTGATAAAATTAATTCAGACCTACCCTTATTATGCTAATTAAAGGATTAAAAGTATTAATATTAATATTAATATAGGCCTGCCCTCATTACCCTCATATGCTAATTAAAGGATTAATAATTGATAACAATTTATTACTACCAGCTTATTAATTTCAAGGTGAAATTTCCTCAAGTAGTACTATAACTAGTATGGGGTGACTTACTTGAGACACACCCCCATTACCTAAAGTATAATAGGCAAACACCCCATATCACTGAGTAATCAGTAATCAGTAGTCAGTAGTTAGATTCACAGAAGAAAGTACAGGGCTGAGCTGACTCCACTCTAAAAGGGTTCTCTAACATCTGAAAGTTTAGCTGATTGTAACCAACGTACAGTTTGTGTGAATAAAAGTTTGCAGTGAACTAAAAGGAACTGTGTCATCTCATTAAAAGTCACAAACAACTAACCGATATTTAACATTAAAGAGTTTTTGGACATCCTTATAGGTGCCCGAAAACGGCACTTGCATACTTAAATTTATGAAAACTACCATTCCATTCAGCCTACCATGGTTGAGGCTGAGGTAAGACAATTGTAAGAATTTTAGATGCCAGAAAATGGCACTTTAATACATAAAATCTAGGACAACTATATTCACCGGAGCCCCATTATGGCTGAGGCGAGTAAATGTTAAGAATTGGGGACTTTTAGATGCCGGGATAGGCACTATAATTCTGAAAGCTTGTCGGTTATTTTTGAATATTTTTTTTCCCAACCTCTAAAGGGTAGAACACCCACTGCCAGATACGCCACTGCAGCAATATCTTCCTTGTCTCTCTTCAGGGGCTGATCCAGAGATGTCCGAAAAGGGGGTGGGGGGAGGCTGATTGAGACAATCCAGGGGCATGCCCCTACGAAAACTGCGTTTTCAGGCTAGACGCCCGAAAATAATCTCGGAGGCGGCGTTTTGGGCGATCAATCATTACTTTTTCTTTGTTTGTTTGTTTGTTTGTTTTGTTTTTTTTTCCCCTACGAAAATTGTTTTCTAGACACGCCCGAAAATAACCTCTGTGGCGTTTTTGGCGATCAATTATTACTTTTTCTTTCATTTTAATACACTCCAAAAGGAGGCCGGCCCCTCTAAATCCACTTCGCTCTTTATCGGGCACACCCGGTTAATGATGAAAACAAATCTGTTTTCCGTAAGCCATGTACTGTACTGCCGCTGTGTGTTTAGATCCTTTTCTATATTGCTGGATGCATGTAGTCGGGCCGTCATTGCTTCTTTTTCCAATGGGTTGGTTCCCAAAAGAGAACCATTGAAATGACTTCATTTTTACTTTTGTAGCAATGTCTAGCAATCTTTGTGCCCTCAAAGTCCTTGATATGCCTACAGGGTGAACATCTCCATACAAGTCTTTATTTGTAATATATTATGTTGTTTATAGTTAAGGCGTGTCTGGGTGGTCAAGTCTTTTCTCTTAAGAATCTGTTCGTTTATCTTTGTTATAGAAATTCCTGTTACATGATTTCCCCATGCAGTGGCGGATTCAAGGGGAACCCAGTCGGCCTGGCCCCCGAAAATCATATTCAAATCCTGAGAGTGCCATTTCCGGCTTTCTAGGGGCAATGTAATCTTAATTTTTCTTACCGCAGCCCTAACCATGGTGGGGCTAAGGTGTCTATTCTGTGAAGGTTCCTCTCTGGGCACCCTCTATTTCAAATGTCTGGATCCACCACTGCAAGGACCAGCCCATATGTGCGAAAGTCCAGGAAAATCCTGGATCCACGCCTGGTTATCCGAAGTGCAGGATGGGGAAGAACGTGTTTGGGTGTACAAAAGTACCGTAAATGCTAATAATCGCCACAGCACTTAGTAAAAAATATTGGCATGGCGCTTTCCATGCAGTACCTATTTCACGTATTCCTGTAATTCGGTAGGCCTATCGTAAGTCTTGCATCATCTTAAATGCTTGTCTTCGTTGTTTTACATTGATTACTGTATACATTGTATTAAAAAGCCTGTTTCTCAAAGTGGTTCATTATACACGGTAATATATACTCTCGATTTAAGCACTGCGGCGCTTATTCGAGAGGCCTTGTTGGCGTTAAGGCGCTATGCATGTCTAATATAATATTATTATGGGGAAAAATATGCTATCATACATCGTTAGACACTAACTGAAAACATGAATTTGTATCCTTCACAGGAGTTTTTGCACATAATTTTATTTTATATGCAATATAATTAAAGTAATCTTAAATTATCATAAACCAACACAACAGATCTTGTTCAAGTTTTCTTCGTGATTCAAATGCTATTAATGCCATACAGTATTCGATCAACCCAATAACATAAATTGAGAAATCCCATAATATCAGAGTACTGCATTATTGCAAATTATTATATTTTTCACAGAAAAATCAATCCCCAGCTAAGAGCCAAAACTAAAATGTTTTGTTCATACAAAGAATGCCATCAAATTTATACTGGAAAAATAACTAGGCCAAATATAAATTATGAAGAATTTACAATATACTGATATTTATACATCAGATAAAAATCTGTTTAAATGTTAAGTTTATAACCCAAAATATTTCAAAATATAGATTTAAATGAAAATGTGCCAGTGGGGACGGGGGATTAAGGCCCCCCCCTCTCTATCGGACAGAGCTTGTCGGGCAGTCTGACTATAAAAAATATAAAAACAGGCCCACACCAAGCCAACACATGTCTGTCACAGTCTAAAAGTGCCATTTACAAACCATCCAGAGGTTCCTATCCTTACAAAATCTCATTTGGGAGGGGACCCCTCTCAAACCTATCTCCCAGCTCGGGCCTACGAGCTCAAGTTAACCTGTCCGCAGCTTAGCTCCCCCCCCCCAGATATTATATCCTAGACCTGGCTGTAGTGTTTGATATAATTCCCATTGTTCCACGAGTGTCCTCTTTATAATAGCTTGTCCCACAGGAAAGGTTTGACTGTACTTCAATGACCCCCAAAGACAATGAGCTGGAAATGGTTAGTTTTAATTGCTAATTGGAAGTGGAGTGTCTTACCACATGTACCTGGCACAGGGATTGCCCACAGGGTCTGCAACTTTCTATCCACTCCCAAAAATGGCGGAGATTACTGCAAAAGTCGCAGTGCAATGGTGACAAACGGCAAAAAAGCATCATACTGCTACTGCTGCGTTATGTTATGTGACGAAAAGTAGAATTGAGAGGTTTTACTATAAAACAAAAAAAACAAAAAACAAAAAAAAACAAAAAAAAATCAGCCTGAACACAAGGCATAAACATTGACAAGAAAATGAATTTGGTGTGAAATTTCACACTTCCCTGCTTCCACCAACAAAGGATAATGATTTTAAAATCATGAACCTCCAATGAAGGCCTATTTTTAAATAGGTCTTAAAAGCTGGCATGTCCTATTAAACCTATTGCAAGCATTTTCTTGGACTTGATGAAAGCCCAAGAATACTAAATCATGTTGGTATTCAAATACAACAATGGTTAAACTTTCGTTCTTACAGTATTTTGTTGTGTTGTGAACAGAAGTTTAAAATTTGTTTTACGGATTCCGGTACTGGCATGGTGGAACATTATTAAAGAAGAGCTTAAGAATATATCCAGAGGTAAAATAGTGTAGAAGGCCATAAATTATTAATGACAAGTATTTTACAACGTCCTTTTCAACAATTCTAGTAGTACTAATTATAGTCCTAGCCTACTGTCTAAGTTGACTGAAAAAATTTAACCCTATCATATTTACCTTACCCCTCATAATTACAGCCATTTTAATTCTTAATTGCCAGTTTTAATTACTTAGTATAGTTTTGAAAAATAATTTTTTGCTATTTTAGAGCATGGGATCATTTTTACCGGGGCAATTTTTACCTCACATCAAGGTCAAATTAGGCCGCTATTTATTCTTTGGCTTCCCAGTACGGTATTGATTTCTGTGCCAAAGAACTGTTTTTTGGAACACCAAAAAGAACGGTTCTTTTTTGTGGGCCCTGTTTGCAAAGAACCGTCTCTTCAGTAGAAACGGATCCATATTTCCAGTGGGGTCCTTCTGGTGGTAATTAGGCAGCAGACTGGGAGACAATCCCCTACAATGCATTCTTTAACATACACATGTGCCATACTGCACACGGAACCATGACCAGCAGTCAATCTTGAAGCCTTTTGGTCTACCAAAATCTCTTCCGAAAGGCACTTTTTTTTATACAGTAGTTGCATTTCAGCCCTCAAGCTGAAACACAAGGAGAACGGCAGATGTACCGAAGGATCTCCACAGTTTAGCGCAAAGAAAGTGGCTTAATTATACTAATTGACTGAGCTGTGCAGGAAAGGCTCATATTATACAGTATCAGTAGCATTGTATTTCTTTTAATACAATGAGCATGCTACTATTAAATGGCAATTTAAAATTGGGCAGTACACACCATTTTGATAAAATAGTATTATTGCTTCCTTTTTTTCCATTTATATATCAGGTAAGACAAAAAAGATGCTGGTATAAAACAGTTTCGATGGCAGCCAATGCAAGGCATAAAGACATCACATATGGATGAAGTATACACTATTTATTCTATTCAAATATTACACAAAATATTATAGTTTCTTTTTCTCATTTTTTTTCATGTAAAATGATACTAATGCTGGTATAAGAGCAACAGTTGCGATGGCGGCAAACTTAATTAGAATAGATGAAGTGAAGACATCACTTATGGTCTTGATTTCTGAGATAATGCATCCAGTCTGGACACACATGAAATTATATGGCATCAAACCTAAAGACAAAGATAAAAAAAAATTACAGTTATCCCACATGACAATGTAATAGGAAATGATATTGTGTGGGATTAGTCCAGTAGAGGCATTCCCTCTTGATCATTAACAAAGATGTTATTTCATCATTAAAAAATTTTTAATAGCTGTCTATTGTTTTAAATTTATCTTTAAAAGAACTGCATAGTTTATAAATACCTACAGAATATACTGCTGTAATTAGTATTAACATATCTCAAATGCAATGACATTTTATCTTTAGGATTTTGTATCACAAGAGAAACAAAGAGAAGAAAATAAATGAGGAAGAGGGGAGCACAGTACACTAAACACAAGGTAATTTTTTTATTTAAATTCCATGTATCAGTTTTTACGGTCATAAGTTGGCACAAAGAACAATCTGGAGCCTTCACTATTTGCAAACAGAATTCAGTCTTTTTCCATTAAAGATGGACAACATGTCTAGTTTAATACCAAACCATGTATTGATCAACAATACTATACAAATATTGACTGCTCATGAGGGGAATGGTGAAACCTATTGCCCCTAGGTGCTGTGGAGATTGTAGCCTATCTTCCCGAGGGCCTTCCTAGAGCAGTCAATATTTGTTTCATATACCTCATTGTCATGAATTCCCACTTGACGTATTTCAAGAGGTAAAGGAATGTCTAGGAATCCCACTTTGACAGCTCAAAATGTTGTAACACAACTCTCAAATAAACTTTTATTCTGTATAAAGAATCCAGTCTCAAAACAACACAATAACATTCACATAAACACAACTGTCAACTTATATAACCCTAGCTGTACAACTCTAGAGCATTCAAGAGCATTCTATATTTCCTAAGTTTCTCATTGGTTACCTTAAATCATAATTAACCAATAGGCTTATTGCCTCTACAGTACCCAAGATTCCAGTCCACATATTACTCTTGGATTTTACATGGTGTCATGTGTTCCTATAATTACCAATGTGGTTTACACTGTTTCTTTTGTCAAATAAATGTCATTCTAGAACGTTCTATGTATTAAATATGTAACACTAAGGCAAGGAATGATAATTCACTTCACTTATACATACCGTAGATTCTACAAGGCCTAAAATGTACTTCCTAGAATAGCCTAGAGGCCTACTAACTGGGGTCTAGTAGGCCTAGGCGATCAAAAAGTGTCTAGCTCTTTTTGCTCATTTCTTTAATTTCAACAGCACCCATCTTCTTGCTATAATTGTCAAATATTGACAAAACATATTTGTCTTTTGAAGCAAGAAGTATAGGCCTAGACTAGTCCTCCTTCATCTAGGAGCTCAAACTCCATAATTATTGTTTATCGTCTACTCGCTGATCCGTGGTGCGGTCAAGGACCAACCTCTTTCGTCGTAGAGGTCACAGTCCCCCACCATATGACAGGTAGAAAAAGTACTATTAAAAGTTCCCTCATTTACATATTAACATATACAAGCTGCTCTTGCTCACTACTAATGTTTACACTCTCACTCATTTACAATTAGGCCTAGCAAGACTAGTGGTAATAATAAGGTAGGTGAGCTCATGAACACAGTGCCTATGGCCAAGCATTTCTAAACAAAAAATCTCAAACACAGCTCTCCATCTGCGACCCCACCCCCGCAAGAACCGCTCAGTGCTTTCCATGTCACATGCCCCCCCCCCACCCAACCCAGATTTTTCTTAAAATGTTGGTATAAAACCCAAAGTTGATGCAAAACAAATTACACATTTTCAAAACACTGTGTGATTATTGATATTGACCCAATTTTGAAGGCTCACACATCACAAATCAATATAACAGAACTTATACCTCTTTAGTCAGGCCAAACAATTTATAGGCACAATTGGCAACAGGAGTCATATCTAGTGTTTGGAAGGCTCATGTTTCTATCTGTCTCTTATACAC